CACAGGCATAATGAATTGTTGGTTCTACACAAGTTTCATAGGAGCGACGTTTAATATAATCGCAACCCTTCTATTGGTGAGGAAAAAGCGGAAACGGTTGAATGGAACATCGGCACATACCCTATACCACTTGCATGCCCTGTCAGTCTTCTGTCAAGGTCCGTGTTCCAGAAAGTATCATTTGTTCCCAAGAAGGAGTGGGCGGTTTGAGGATTATTACAACTTGATCATAAGAAGGAAGAAGCCTGGCATTAGCCGAGTGACTTGACTGGTATGTGTACAACTACAGCACAATATACAGTTCTATAACAAAAGTAAACAAAGGAAAAGGGAATTTAAAAGTAAAAAGTGCCAGAAACACGAATAGGAAGGGCTAAGACGAAGCTCAAACCTTGTGTAACGGCAACAAAACACGAAGCAAGAAAGTCCTATGTTCTTCCTTGAGAGGGAGTGCAAAACCATTTATAATGCTTCCTTAAAGTGAGCAATTGAATCACACAAGGAAATGAACAAAAAACAGCAACAATGATAACATAGTTAGGAATACAATAACCTTACCTAGGATTTCCAGCAATTCTGCGATACCATTATGTCGCTCCGTTTCGTAAATGAAGCAGTAAAAGATGTTATTTATTTGTTTCCTACAATCACAAACATTGTTCATAAATGTATTAAACAAGAATGCAGCTAAGCTTGCTTCATGAAAAAACAGTCAAGAAATGTGGAAACTAAAGTCTATCGAAACATACCGAATATATGCCCTCATTCCTAGAAATTTTCCATAGATTCTATGTAAAGTAGTTTTGAGGAAATCTCTTTCGCGCGGGTCTTCGGAGTCCATGATCATCAGCAACTGTAATAGATATGACGTGAGTGTAGACTGCAACGCAAAGGAAAATGGTTTTGAATAAAAATTATATCAAAACCTTGCCCATACGAAAATCCTCCACCTAATACAGTGCAATAAAACTCCATAAGACATTACAAGTAGACTACCCTTTTTCCAATAATTGAATGTTGTCATCACACAGCATGCCATAGGCCTAGTCGGACAGTCGAAAAATTGTATATCAAAGAATAACAACAAGTGGTTGTCTTACCCGCAACATGAATTTGTGATCAATGTATTTCTTTGCCACACTGGATTGAAAATCGGGAGATTCGAGGAAACGTAGGAAGAACTCGTAGACTAGCTGAAGCGCAAAAAAACCTCGCAGATATCGAGTACTTTCCACACAAGGCGATTGACAATATCGAAGATCTACACGTCACTACTAGATAGCGGCACTCACCTGCAGATGGGGCCACGCTGCTTCAAGAGTCGGCTCATCCTCATCGGGATCAAACTCGGCACCTACAGGGTTCGTTGGCGGTGACAGCGGTCGAAACAAGTTGATGGCAAACTGAATAAAACACTGCTGACAACAATAATAATTTTCCTTCAACTAATCGCATCATAGTTGGGAGTAGAGATAGAAAAAATTATTTACAATCCCAATACTTAGTCGAAATGCCCTCTATTTCCAAACAATATTTATATCTTTGAAAAGTCTATGCCACATTTGGCCATTGGAAACAACAATCCGGTCTTCCCAGAAACGCCAGAAACGTGACCCAAGTTTCGGGTTTGTCCAGCAATCTATTTACTACAGCCGATAAGGAACATGATCAAAATATGAAATTATAATAATGGTCTCCAAGAATACATCTTTCCACCGCTGGTTCCCAGTCCGCATTCTACAAACAGTAAAAGAGATTCCATGAATGTCCCACTTAAGCTGATGAATGCAATCGAAATGCAAAAAACGAGGAAAACGGGACAGAAGAAAATGGAAAAACAAACTATATGGGAAAAACAATTGATCTCCTTACCATGTTTATCGCTTCAGGGTATATATTTTCCGTGATGGCATCACGGCACGTCGATACGTAGTCGATGAGTTCGTTCAGTGCTGCTCGCTTCACCTAGCGAATCATAAATATTAAGTGCCATCCCGTTCAACTACACGGGCAACTGTGATTGTTAATTTTTAGTCAACTCTCTTAGAAGTCTGCTTAACAGCTTCAATCCTAATGCTATTTCACTCCTCAAGGATAAAAACAAGCTCGATAAGTAGGTATTCGCGCTTCAAATGACCTCCTTCCTCGTAATGTACTCGCTAGACTACTTCCGTCACAGAATCCGCTATTCTTGTCAACCGTCTTCAATAACTTCTATCCACGGCATTTTCTATCCCTTCAACCTTGACGAGGCCTTCTTGATCACATCACGCTACCTCTTCTTTGGAGTTCCTCGTGGTCTCCGTTGCCTCTTGTTGGATGAGCAGCTCGGCTTCTCAGCACGTGTTCGTAACGTCGTAGACGCCGCTCTCTCATCTTCAGCTATATAGGGATAGTGTGCAACAATTTTTTGTCAAATTTGAATTATGCATGTTCGCTCTGACGTCGTTTCAGATCCGGCCAGGTCGCACGCAACCGCAGGCCCATTTGAGCATCATCATTCTTTTTACTTACGGGACAGCACCCGTTGCCTTGGGGCATAGTGTGCCTCACCAGTGTTCGGTACACTTTTCCTATGAACCCTTTGAACGCTGATGGCAGAGGATACCAGTAGTTCCCCTTCAAAACATCCAAGCCGCAATTATTCGGGCTTCTCGCTACCATCAGAAGCTGGCCAATACCCAGGCGTGGGGAGCCCTGTACCTCTCGTCGGCAGTCTTCTCCAAGACTGCCCATGATCGACTCCGTGCACCCCACGGAGCTGTGTTTTTCCTTCTTTACATTCAGCTGGATACCGTTCTCCGAAAGCACTTTTTGCCATTTATGCAGGTTGGCCTGAGTTTTTCCCGACTTCCCGTTATCAGAGCGATGTCATCAGCGTAGAGAATGGCCATGAAGGGTCCATCTAGAAGTTCGTTTGTTATGACTGTCCTCACATACTGCCTTTTCCGAAAACAAGGTTGAAAAGTGGCATGAAGCCAACAGCTTCGTGAAATCAAGACTAGTTCTCTCAATGTCGCGACGACGACTGACCGCTCGTACAGTTTCATGGTAAGCGCAGTCAACCTGACCCTACGACAGTTGGAACACCCTATTCCATATCCCATTTGCTTGAAGATTGGCACAATAGTACTACCCTTCCAGGCATCTAGGAGGATTCTTTCGTTGATGGCCATTGTGTTCAGGAACCGCGTGAGTTACCTGATCCATAACAGCCAATTGGGATGAAAAGACAGCCGATTCAAACACAAAATGTAAAAAAATTGAAAACTAAACCGGTGTCGCTCGAAATATCAAAAAAAAAACCTCTTTGTATTTCATGTCGCTCAAGGGATCTTGGGCAAACTCGAAAACCACGCAGCATTGCCGTAACTTCTGAATGAACAAGTCTTCACGTTCCGATGGTTCAGCGTCTATAATGATGTGTATGTATGTCTATGTCTCTTGGCCCTTTTCGGCAAACAAATGAATAACTTCTGCCCAAATAAAGGGCAGAACAACCAGTAGCGAATAAACAAAATCTTATAAAACTCAAGGGTAAATAAAATGAAATTACGCAACCACCGCGGGAAGGAGAAGGGAATGAAAACGAGTTTCCACCCAAAAGAGTATTCCGAATTCTTCCCATATACAGTAGCGCTCAAAATTTTTAGTCAAACGCCTTCACGCTTTTTTTGTTCATAACTCTTCTTGGTGAAGCAAATCGCGCGAAGTTTTGATACGTTCAACTAAGTCATATTTCACATTATCCACACTACTTGACTGCGAAGCAACAATATCCGCATAACTAACAATAAGAGCAATACTTGTTGCGGTGGTAGTTATTGACGTCTACAGTTATTCGCACATTACGTGCTTTATTCTTCTCTACTGTGTTCGGGATTGGCGCTCGTACACTTCAGTTTGAGTTCAAGCTCTTTGGGATATCTGGAACGCGATCAGATTGCAGGTTAATAGTTGTAAATATTCACAATACACCCATGCTACACATCGAAATTTCGCATGTTCAGATGCAGTAGGAAAGAAGTTACGACTGAAAAGTGAAACTTAATTTCGCCGTATACTTTTGAGCGCTACTGTATAAACCACCAATGTCCATTTATCTGTTTGTCACCATCTTATACGGCGCCTTCCTGACATTAAAATCACCCAACACATGTACTATGCACACAATTCCTTTTCACATGGAATCCAAAATCGCCAACCTTATCTCGAAGCCTTCCAAGTTATGCACCATCAATTCACAGCTTTGCTCTTTCTAGACATAGAGCGTCACGTATGCTAAGATTCACGATCCTAGCTGTTGATCGATACACCTCTCCTATATCAATCTGTTGTGTAATCGCCCTTTTCCAGCTTTGTTCCCTTTAGTGGTACAGTGTTCCCACTACTACCTGTAAGCTAACTTTGCTACCTTACTTATGTACTTCTGACCTCGTTAGCCTTTCCCGAACTTTCATCTTCGACAATTCTGAGCACACCACGCGTACCTCACTGCTATGTCCACTCAACCTCTTACGATATTACTATGTGGCTCTAAAACAAAGCATAATGCATTCTTCTCATCCATTCTTTGGGGCACAATCAATTTCGTTTCCCTCCCTAGCAGACAACGCTGCCCCCTCCTTGGTTTCAATCTCCTCAAAGCGTCAGCCACCACTCATGTTCTGCTCCTCTCATTGAATCCGAACGCGATTCAAGACTCTATACAAATACCAGTTGGCCTTCACAACACTAAAGCTTATCACAACAAAAATGCATCAAGCAAAGATGGCTTTTGTGATCTAAACCAAACCCCTGAAGAATCTGGATACTGGCTGTGATAGGTCATAAGCTTACGCGAAAAGTTCCACAACGCTCCACTTATTGCGGATGAGTCTCCTTCGCCTGATTTATTGACCCGCTCCTTATATTTGCCCTGTTTTCCGGTGTCTGAGCTTTTCTGAAACGATATCACGAGGAAGTCCTCGGTGCACCGCCCATTCAGGTGCATACCCGCTGCTTATGGTTCCCTTGAGCTCACGTGTGCTCTGATGAACCTGGGCCTCACCCATTCTGAACTTCACTTGATTTCTTTAGGTGTTTCTTTAGGTAATGGCGAATCTCGGAACACTGGACAATATTCAGGAAGTAACGATTTCCTATATAATACCGTCGAAACATCTTTGGACAAACAGAGAATTCCTGATCTCGGCTCCGCCCAACTCAGTGCAAGGGATCAGGTAAACGGTCTCTATGCACCTTTTTGCGGATTCTAGAACGTTTTGAGCAGAGCTTGGGTGTTTGATCGTAGCTCCAGCCACCCTCACTGCAGACCTCGTCTAATGTAATAATCTGACCACCCAACATTCACCTAACCATGTTCTTCGCATTCTAGGACGTTGCTGGATAGAGATATAAGTTTTGCTCTTAAACTTTGATCTTGGCCCCACCCACCCCAGTGCACCCGCACTGAGGATATGACCACATCCCTTCTATAGACTTATTTTTCTTCCGAGTTCTAGAACGTTTCTGAACAAAATTACACTCATTATTAGAAAAAAAACCTTCCACTCAAGGGCACGCCCGCCCATGGTGAGCGAGGCCTTGCTGAGTTCACGCGTGCACAGCACGTATTAAACTCTGCTCGCTCCTTTTATTTTATTCCTTTGACCTCCCGGCTTTCGCTGAAACGAGTTATCAATTTATTCGGAAAGTACCCTTCAATGTCAGGACGACCCGCTCACCACATAGGGTCTTCTTTATTTCATTTATTGACCCATCCTTTACCCTTCCTCACTCTTCCTTGATCTTGCCTTATGCCCAACCGCTTCCAAACATACGGCCGACCAGACAAGGTGCTCTATAAAGGCACAGTTCACGACACTTTCGAGGTATCCTAATAAGCCGAAAAGCGGAAGTATTTGGTGGGGGTAGTACATCGGTGGTAAAAGAAGCAAGGAAACTCGACCCTTTGCGGTAAACAAAGCTCCTTTGAAAAAGTGAAGAAGAAGTTGTACGAGATATCATGACCGAAATGGCATGGAAGGGATATTAAGACGAGGTTGCACTTGTTGCAATTGCCCAAAGAGCTATCTACATCACGCTAAAACTGACAGAACAGCCTCTCACTGTCGCTATGGGTCATGATAGATTGCTCGAATTTCTACTGGATACCCTTGTAAATGGTGCGGCCACTACAACTTTAAAACTCGTCCATGCATACACGAGAGACAATCTTCGAGCCTTTTGAACGCCCTATCTGGGCCTTTTTCCAGCCTAACAGCACACGGTGAGACCACAGATTCATCCTATTGAGATATCTCAGTAACCATTTCTATTCGTAAACTGCGCCTTTCAGGTAAGATCGAATTGTGCGACAGCCAGACAGATACTGTCATACTAATGAATAGAGAAATATTTACGCAAAAAAACATATGAAGGATAATTGCATGTGTTTAAGTGCAAATTTCAATGTACCACAAGTAATTGTATTTCTGCCTAATTCTCGATTTCTTTGTTTTAAGGCTGGAAATTGGGTTTATTTTCAAAAAAAGTTTCAATTGGGTTTGAACTCATGGTTTATGAAAATCCTAACAGGATTCGATGCCTATCGGAATAAAGATTTATAAGAACTCAGAAAAAGATGTGAAGACGCTGAAAGATGAAGGGATTTGATCAAGGTAAATTAGTCGTAGAACCCATCACTAAGCTGAGGTATTGAGCCACCAGCATTCAATCTTATTTGGTTTTCATGAAGTGTAAAATCGATTTGAATCTAATGCTGATATCGGATACCATTGCAATACGATTCGCCTACTACGACAAAATCTAAGGTTTGTCTTCATTTCTAGTATACAGAGCGCCATCCCTACATTTATTGTAGTATAAAGAAGACTAAAAATAAAATGCAGTCACGATCACTTGATTGAAATTATTTCTAAACTTGAACCAAAAATCAGGTATTACACAAAGCGTAATTCAATAACACTACGAGAATAAACAATGTAATCAGTTGACAAAAAAAGTCCTAAATTCAACTTGCCTTTGATGGATGGCAATTTCACCAGCTCCCGGTTCGATGAAACATTGAACAAACTGCTCGATTGTCGGCGATCTCGGCGAGGTATGACAGGACCTTAAATGCCGATATCACCCAAGAGGGCCATCTCAATACGGCATCTATAGTGCATAACTAGGTCATAAAAGCATTATTCGGGTCTTTTGCATCCTCAAAGAAAGAAACCATCAACCAAAATCTCACCAATGAGAAATAACAGATATGAAGACGGCAGTCTAGCTGCACCACGAGTCAGGACAAATTATAGGTGCATTTTGAATAAAATGAAGTTATAGAAAACCAATATCAATAACAATTTGAAGTAAACAGGAAACGTTTGGCATCTTTCATAGTCCACGACCGGTCGCGCGGACCCATCTCACGAGCGACCGGCGACCGGTCGCGCGACCGATCGCGCGACTGATCGCTCGACTGATCGCGCGGGACCGTCCACGGCGGCACCCATAACTAGCGCGGCGTCCTCGACCGATCGAGCGACCAGTGGCGCGATCAGTCGAGCGACCAGTCGCTAGCGACCGGCGACCAGTCGCGCGACCGGTCGTGGACTATGAAAGATGCCATTGGGAAGGAGTCATAGGTAACACGATAAAGAAAAATCAATTCTGGAAGAAACCCTCCACTAAAACTCAAAACTTGGTGGTATCCACACACGCGCGTCCCAATTTCCAATTTATGGCTTGACCAATCCCAGAAAACTAACCCAGCCCTGCAGTTCCGAATCTCGGTGGATATACATCAGAATAAAGTCACAGTCGCTACATAAAAGTGTTGTTCAACGCTAAGAGTAAGACGAAACTTACCTCCCCCATAGCTGCTCTTTTTCAAGGATGTCGGTGGTGGGGCATCCGGTGGCGCACCGTTTTCATTACCTTAAAGAACTCCAGCTTATCTATCTCACTGTAGAACACTGTTAAACAATGTAATCGAATCAATCCTACTCTGAGACTGGAAAACATACTGGTAACATCTTCAGTCTGTATGATAGGTATTTCTTTCGGCTGCTCTTTTTCCTCCTTCTTTTTATCCTTTTTATTGTCCTTCTCCTTGTCCTTGTCCTTGTCTTTATCTTTCTCTGCCTTGAAGAAGGGATAAGTAACACACTTTGGAGTTTAAGAGAGATATGGACACATTTATTGGACCCTCAATACCTTATCCTTTCCCTCCTTGTCCTTCTTCTTGCCTTTGAGCATTGTCGACGAGGCGACGACCTTAAATAGCAATGCGACAGATTGTAATAGCATAGTCAAATGCGGAAACACATAAATGCAAACCACAATGGAAATTTCTGCAATGGACATATTCTGCTTACAGATGATACTGTTCCGATTATTACTATCTTAAGGCACTACAAAAATTTCTTCATAATCTCAAAGTGGTCGACTACATAACACGAGACCATTAATAACTCGAAAGCCTTGTTGTTCGGTTTCCGTTGATTCGCTTTAAAACTTAAACTCCCAAAATTCACCTAGAGCGGTTATAAAAGGTTGCCTTCAGCACATGGTGACGATGCAACGGTGAAGGAACTAATAGGAACCGTAAAATAATCCTGCAAAACTACCAGTTCTAAACTCTAGAGCATGCAATATTGGGTTTAATCTATTGGCAAACAAATCAACATGAATGGTACGCCTTCAATTTTCCAGAACATTAATGGCAACTCATATAGACGAGTAAAATGTTGTCACTAACATAATAATCACAAAATCACGTTCGGAGACGTACGAAACAAGAAGAGAAAACAGTACGAGGTGAGCAGCACTCCCGATTGTCTAACTGCTTGATTGTTCGAACACACTTTAACCCATCATATTATTGTTGAAAGTTAGCGTTCTCTTCAAATAAGAAGCCTAGTCACATGGATTCTTGCATGTGCTAAATATTATATTACACTAATTTTAGTTTCGAGATCCTGACCTCCCAACTCTCTTCGCTTGGTTGATAACAAACTTAAAGTTACCGTGTTCAAAAAATTTTTGGATGTAGCGCCTAATTCCCGGCAATAAAATTATGTCAACCTTAACGTTCATGCGATTCATCTCATGCGTCTTGTTTGTTGCCTCATAATTTCCCAAAATAAAGCAAGGTACGGCGATCTCCACCTAAGACGTCGCAGATGATTTCACTGCCTACAACACAACAGTTATTACAAGTCAAGGTTTGAATTACGATTGACGACTCTTCTTTGACAAGCTAGAGCTACTGATGGACTGTCCATGAAAAAAATAAGTTTTACATAAGAGTTCTTGGCATGAAATTCTGAACTTCTATTCTATAATTCTCTGTCGCGTAATGAGAAGGAAAATCAATCTCACTGAAGAGCCATATCCCTACTTCTCGAGCACGACAAGAAGTCGTTATATACACGAGTAGCAGCTCATAGCGTTACTCAATCAACTTCCATTGCACCATGGACGCGAGCCTGCATGGCACCTTAGCCTTTGGGTTTAAGAAAGTGAGTGCACGAATAATTCCAACTTCATACCTCACTAGACGAGCATGTTAAAGCTAAGCAGAGCTTCTTTCAATACAAAACATACGTAACAGTGACAGGACACATTGAAATTAGATGAACGCTGCGCACACATTTCGTTCAAGGACGATCCCGAAAAAAGTTATTGCAAAAGTGATGCTTTACTGTGATCAGCCGCAAGCGACTGAAAATTCCACACTCTCAAGAGATTGGGAATGGCAAAATACCTTCACAGAACGGCACATGTCCGTGCCTGGGAAAGATAATTCATAAACAATAACTTAAAGGTGTAATCTAGAGATGTTCCCTGATTCGTCGCTCCTTCTAAATTCACCTCTATTGAACAATGATCCTATGTTTATGGCGTGGGTCCAGAGAAACGAAATTTTGATAAGTTCTCAAAAAAAATAGCTAGGGGTTACGGACAATACACACAGAAAACCCTCGGAAATCAGAAGATGAGGCGAAAACTTTGACTATTGCTATCACTGAGCATAGCACACAGAACTTTGGAGTGTATTAGCGTTGGTAAGCCATCGCCGTAGGAGTTTTCGTTCAAACCGGACCATTACAACACGGTCACAACGTTCACGACTAAAAAAATTTTAATATGACTATGCGAGTGAACTCATCTTTTCAAAGGCTGAGGAAATGTGTGAGAAATGATATTCTAGGTAGGATCACTCTCAAATGGTCAGGGGATCTCATTGTCGAAGGAAGACAATTCCTTCGGCAACTAAAAAACGAGAGAGGAAGGGGCCTCGAATCGTCCAACCAATTGACACCTTTCGTTGAAACGTTGATATTTCTATTTAATCCAACCGTAACCACGTAGGCTTCCCCAGTGAAAGGAAATATGACATCGAAAAGCAACCCATGGAACTAAAAACTGATGAAGATTGGAAACATCGCATCAAATTTGTAGCTGCGTAACGCTGATTCATCGATAACTCGTATGCCAAAATTTGCAGCACTCGTATTGCTTATCAGCTAGATTACAAAAAAACATAAATGTCAAATTAGGTAGTGAACGTAGTTTACATCTACGAGCAAGCGTGCATTTCTTGTAGTTAACAAATTAAAAGGAAAATTTTTCATAACTAAGACGAGCAATTGTTTTCTAGAAATGAATGCGTGAAGAGGAGAAGCTTAACAGGCTTCCCTTACTCAGTAAAACTAGTGTCTGCATGCGATCGATTTACATCGCGCAACTCCCAGAATGCATTCCACACTACCGAGACTGAAGGATTGAAAATAAAAAAAGATGAAACCAAAAGCCGAAAGTCCTCATCAACGGCTTCAATATGCGTAATGCTGGACGACATGCTATAAAGTGCAAAGGATATCAACGGAAGATGTAAAAAAGAAATGAAAACAATGCATGATATTAACAAGTGCACCCACGCCCATTAAGTTAAGCTGCTCAGCTCTAAATCGCTCATGAAAGCGACCATTAAAAAAGTAATCTAGCATGCGTAATCTGCAGAACGCGGTTTTCAACTCACTTGATTTGTGCCTTAGAGATGAATTTTCATAAATGAAAAGGGTTCATCTATTGGAATCACTAAGGAACAGAAATTCAAGTAATGAATGTTCCTGCGATACTTCACCCA